TTTTATAGAACTATATATGGTTAAGAGCTTGGAACTCAATTCAATAGAGAAACCTTTTTATCATTCTATTTGATGAAATGGAAGTTGTATCAGTACTAGCTCATAAATTCTGGTTAAATGGAGTTTATTTTTGATGACCCATAGGAGCTCTTTTTGTATTATTTTTTGTTTCTTGCTCTCTCACCTAATATGTTTAAATAAAGAGAGTTTTTAAAAACTTCCTTTTTTTTTTTCCGGCAAAGTTCCTGAAGTATTTGAGAAATACACAAGAAGCTAGGAGCTGGTATATAAAAATATGATTTATTCATGAAAATCCAAGGAAATTATCATTTCCCCATCTCCAGAAAGAGTAACTTTGGTACTCAAGCCTCTTCACCTTATTTGGGCTGTTTTAGGTAGTGGAAGAATTGATCACTAGTTACTAGAGTCAAGGGGTTATTAGAAATGCCAGCTTGGGTGGATTTTAGTACAATTTGAGATTGTACAGCTTTTCTGAGACCAGAGACACCATGGGACTTAACATTGCACAGCAATATGAGGCAGCGTTAATTGCCTAAACTCTAACCTGCTTCTGCCACTTACTAATTACGTGAACTTAAGCAAATTACTCATCTTTCCTCAGCTGACCTTTCAGTTTTCTCATCTGTAAAATGGAGATATGTATAGTACTTAATTGAATAAGGTTGTTGTAAAGATTTGATGTGTTAATATACATACTTAAAGCTCTTAAGATGATACCTGGCATGTGGGAAACATTCCGCATTAGTGTTTATTCGCATATATGTCTGGTGAAACTGACATAAGTAGGCAGTTGGTGGTATGAATGACTTCACCTTGAGAAAAATTGATAGAGAAAACCTGATCTCACCAGCCAGATAAATGTGGGGCTAACCTTTCAGGTTAGCCTGGATAGTCACTGGTTGTGGTAGGTAGAATTCCAAGATTCTCCCAAGATTCCTGCACCATCATGGGTAGGCCCTTTGTAATCCCTTCCCCTTGAATGCAGGCAGAATCTTGCATATGATGAAGTACCATTCTTGTGATTAGGTTACTAATCGCTTGACTTTGAGTTAACTAAAAGGAAAGTTATCAAGATGGGCCTGACCTAATCAGGTGAGCCCTTAAAAGGAATTGGGTCCTTCCTGAAGTTAAATAAAGTTGAAGTGTGAGAGGGGCCATGGAAGGAACTACATGGCAAAGAACTGACACGGTCTCTAGGAACTGGGAATAGTTCCTGGACCACAGCAAGCAGTAGAATGGGGGCCTTGGTCCTATACCACAAGGAACTGAATTCTGCCAACAACCTTGTGAGCTTGAAAGGGATGCTTTGCTCCAGAGGAGATCACAGCCCCAACTGGTACCTTAATTTTATCCTTGTGATATGCTCAGCAGAGAATTCAGTTGAGCTTTGTCTGAACTCTTAACCTACATGTAACATAATAAATTAATATCATTTTAAGCCATTACATTTCTGGTAATTTGTTACACAGCAATAGAAAACTAATACACTATTAATGAGCTAAATTTATACCTCATCAGCTTGGCTCATAAGAGGCTAGGTGGCTAGACAGTAAGAGTCGTTTGCTTCCCATTCTACTTCTCACCTGGCCCTGTAAGAGAAACACAGTTCAGAGAATCATGTGGCACCAGAGGATGGTTCTGTTCATTCTCATGGACATGCGTCACGCAGGTGGGTTGCTGTCACCTCAAAATGCCTCCAACACCCTCAGTATAGTCCCCAGAAAACTCTTCCTCTAGAAATTCATCATCCTTTAGGCTTCTACTTAATAGAAATGCAACAAAACTTTCCCTAACCACTCAGTCTAGCTTTGGCCACCTCCCAGAGATGCTCCTGATGTTACTGTTTACTTCCTTCATAGCACTGGTCTATGCTTATCTTGTTTGCTCACTCACTGGCCTGCTGTCGTACTCTCTGGCTGGAAGGTAAGCAACATGAAGATGAGGACTTTCTCTGTCTTGCTCACTCTTATATCTCCAGAGCCTGGACAGATGGCTAGCACCTGATGAATGTTTGCTACGGGAAAGTATTACAGAGAAACACAGCCAGTACCACAATAGCAAAGCTACAGCACTGTTACACTCATATACCAGAAATTCACATGCAACTTTACTAAAAGATTTTCATAGCACTTTGTTCATATTCTTGTTGTAGGATTTTTCAGGCTAATTTTTGAGCTCCTGGAAGACAGAGTCCTTTGCATCCTTGTGTTAAACACAGGAGCCAATGTATGGTAGATGTTCAATAAATGTTTGTGGAATGTAATGGAATTGATCATTAAACTACAGAAATCAAATCATCCTCAGTATGGAAATATATATGACTAAGTGTAGTCGTTTTCTACTTTATGAGATATAGCAGTTTTCCACTTTTTCTCCCAACTCCTAAGGCTTTTATGAGAGTCTTCTTCCAGTACAAACCTCCTTTCTCCAGCCTTCCCCCTTAACCAGTTCCCCAAAATTGACCAAATGATCTTTCCATCTGAAGCTCATCCCATCCCGAGAGTCTAGACCAGCCTACCCACCATGTATGACTTTAAAACAGGTGCTCTCTCATGCCATGAGATGATTCTGACCACAGAGTATCCTCTATAGCTGTCCCATCCTATGGTGCCCGCATAGATGTCCTCACCCAGCTACAGCTGTCCTTCTCTATCTCCCCAATTCTTTACCTCTGCTTTAGGTTAAACTTGCTATCCCTCCACATGTAGACCAACCTGCAGATAATACTTACCACGCACCAGGCTTGAATCTCTGCCACTCTTCGACTACTTTCCTTAAAGAGTCTCCAGGCATCCCATTTTCCAGGAGAACCACACAGATGAACTACACCTCAAAGATGGAGTGTTAGAGTTTCTTTCTCTGGGCTCCCAAAGCCCCCTGCACTTACCTCTGTCATGGCACTTACCACACTGTGCCATCTAATCACTAGTTTCTATGTCTGTCTTTCTTCCTGGGTGAGCAACTTGAGAGAGGATTTCTTTCATTTCTATATTCCTACCACACTTCCGGGTACATGGTTGGTTTTTAAGAAATGAGGTTTGAGCTAAAAAGTAGACAAATGATGAATGAAGTTTCAGTAGGCAGAATAATGCCCTCTCCACACACCCTAAGGTTGTCCACCTCTTAATTCCCGGGATCTGTGAGTATGCTACCCTACATGGCAAAAAGACTTTGCAGATGTGATTCAGTCAAAGAACTTTGAGATGAGGGAATTATCCTGGATTATCCAAGTATGTCGGTTGTAATCACAGATGTCCTTGTAAGAGAGAGACAGGAGGGTCAGAGTCAGAGAAGGAGATGTGGCATAATCAGAGATTGGAGTGATACAACTGCTGGCTTTGAGGATGGGAGATTCCTAGAGCCAAGGACTGCAGGCAGTCTTTAAATGCTGAAAAAGGCAAGGAAACAGATTCTTCTGTAAGCCTCCAGGAGGAAGACAATCCTGCTGACACCTTGATTTTAGCCCAGGGAAACCCATTTTGGAAGTCTGACCCAGAGATCTATAAGATAAAAAATTTTTGTTGTTTTAAGCCGCTAGGTTTGTGATAATTCATTACAACAGCAATAGGAAGCTAATGTAGATTGGTAGAGAGACAGAGTTATCTTGGATAAACGTCTCTTCTTTACAAAGATCAGGCATGCATTGCTATGTCTATTTAACAACAGTGTTGGGTCCATCCAAGAATGCCAAGTTTTTACCCCTGGCAAAGCTTTCCCCATCATCTCCCTGGACTCCTCCCCAACCTTGTGCCTGGGTGGGATATGGCAGAGGAGAGAGAACATGGGCTTAAGAGTCAGAGAAACATGAATTCAAATCCTAGTTCCATCATTTATCAATAGCATGCATCGGGACAAGTAACTCCACTTCTCTGATTTTGTCTTTATCTCACATTCAGTATTATTACAAGGGTTAGAAAGTTAACAAAGAAAATAATGTTATTGTGGCCAACCAAGGGAACCTTCCAAGGAGATAAATGAAGTGCTTGCACTAGAGTTTTTCTGCTCCAGACATCCACGGGATTGTGTGGTGGCAGGAGTTGTGGGTAGCTGAATGCCTCCTTCATGTTATAGAGGGAGAAGATTTGGCACCATGAGGCCTAGTCTTGGAGGGAAGGAAGGAGCAGCAGAGATTGGATGGGGACAGAAAAGAGGAGGCCAGTGAATGGTAGAAGCCAGCAAGTTCAACAATGCGAACTTCTCTGGAACTTCCAAATTTTGGAGAAAGAGTTCTAAATTTATATATTCTTAGTGTGAGTATATTTTTAAAGGCTACTTCCTAGGACCACTTTGACTTAAGGTAAAACAGTGAGAAGTTTTCAGGCAGAGGGTGACCATGAGAGCACAAGCCCCTGAGAATTAGCATAAATCAAGAAAGAACTTTGGACCTCCATAGACCATGAGATTGAAAGTTGAGCCAAGGGACAAGGCAATGAGCCTGCTCACAACTCATACAAATGCCTGGGAAGTTATAGATACAGAAACAATGAGGGCTTCAATTTGGGGAGTGTTCTGTTCACTTTCTCCTCGCATTTGAAACATATTGCCTTCCCAGGCTGCTTAGATAGAGACATGGGAAGCAGCTGATGATCTGAACTAACAGGAAAACAGTTGAGTTGGCAGGTGGTAACAGCAATCAAGAGGTCTATTCCACCTCCAGGGCCCAGAATTTATTCTCTTTGTTCCAAATCACCTCTCTGGCCTCTGGTCCGATGCTGTCTGTTGGGGAAGACTTAACGCAGGAGAACAGGTGGCTTCACAGCCCAATAATTTGGGTAATGAGTTAGAACCTCTACCTAAAACCAAGCCCGAGGACCCTTCCAGCTGCTGAATGCTGGAAGGTGACAGATAGCAACACATATATGTATATAGTCGTGTGTGTTGAGAGGGAGGCCGAAGCATCTTTGCAATAATCAACGCATTCATAGCTTTTATCCTGTCTGCCCGCCCCCCCCCCCCCCCCGCTTTTTTTTCGGTAAACCATAGCAGTTTCTTGACTCACTTGATTCTTTTATGGGGTAATGAAAAAAATCAAGCTTACCTTTAGGCAATCGGCTCCCTTCTCAAGAATTAGCCTTACACACGATTTTCAAGGAACTCCTCACTGCCTCTTCTGAACTGCTGTGGGAAAAGATTGACAAGAGATAGACAAAGGCCAACAATACAGGGCGAGGCCCCTGGGCACCCTCTCAGCTCAGGGGAAGGTTAATGAATGTCATTCTGGGACAAAGAGAGCTTTGACAACAGAGAATCTGACAGTTTTCATAAGGCAGGAAATGTGGCCATTATCAACCCAGAGCTGGGTGTGCAAACACAATCTATATGTTTATATACCTTCTCCCAGCTTGTGGACATTGTTTAAATGGGAGGGGAAGAAAGTGCAAGAAGGAAATCCTCTTCCTTTTGGCAAGACACAGACAGAACTTCACATGCTTGACCTGTATCTTTTGTTTCAAGGAGCAAGTGTCACCTCCTCCATGTTGAGTGTCACAGAGAGATTTCAAAAGACAGCATCATCACCATCAACATCATTCATTCAACAGCCTTTCATTGAGCACTAATTATGGGACAGTCACTACACTAGGTGCCAGGGTTACAATGATGAGTAAAAAGTCAATGTCCTTCCTTTTCTTCCCTGAGCTCTTGGTCTAGTCATTGTTGTGGTTCAACTTGTCATCGTCATCATTGCCATCATCATTACAATCTCTCTTCTCATCTCTTAGGGCAATGTTGAAACTAGGCGTGTTTATTAAACACCTAGGGATAAAAAATAAAGAACATAAAAATAAAGTCTTTTTTAAAAGTACAGTGAGAAATAATCTCTTGGGGGTTTCATTAAAATGCATATTTCCAGGTACATTTGCCATGCTATGAATTACTAAAACTTGAGGTGGGTCTCAGGACTCAACATTTCCAAAACAATCCAGAGGATTCTGATGTAAACATTTCATGGCTCACATTTTGCAAATATTGTCTTATGTTATAGTGCTTTATATACATTTTTGTCACATTCATTGTGTTTTGAATGTCACAACAGTACAACGAAGTAGATAGAATGGGAATTATTATCTCCAACTTACTGATGAGAAAAATGAATGCATAAAAATGTCTATTCAACCCAGTTCAATATAACTGGCATCTAATTTGTTCCAGCTCCATGTTAGAAGTTATAGAGAAGAATGAGATACTCAGTGAGCTTGTATTAGAAGGATGGAGAAGGCAAGCACACGGATATGCCAGGTACTTTTCATGCTATACTATCTGTACTTTAATATATATCGGTATATACATGTATATAAATGTAGTATGTTAACCTTATTCTATACCCTTAGAGTGATAAGTTCATTCATTCACTAATTGTTTCATTCATTTACTTGGTATTTATTGAGCATTTATTAGTGCCTGGCATTGCTCTAAGTTTTGGAGATACAATAATAAATAAAAAACACAAAAACATCTGCCTCCATGAAATTAGCATTCTAGTGGGGGAAACAGAGATCAGGAAACCATGCCAGGGTGGAATTCATTCATAGTTGAAGGGACCTATCCAGGAACAGGATGTATGGCTGTTTGCAGCCTGTTTGATAATAAATGTTTATACAAGTGGCAGAATTCTGCCTGAGATTTGCTTTCATCAAAACATCCCTTCCAGAAATAAGATTGTTGGTGAGCAATTCACAACCGCCAGCTACCTCTAATTGTTGTAGGCCATTGTTAACCAAAAGAATCGACAATTATGAGTGGCCAAATTGACATATCAATTGTAACAGATTGTCTCACTTAATCTTTTACAGGATTCCTGTGGTGTAGATAACATTATCTCCATTTTAAAGATTAGGTATTTGAGGTTTAAAGAGATTAAATAATTTCCTGATGCTTAGTTATTAGGTATTGGGTAGTAGAGCCAGGATTTAAACTGGGTTGTTTCCATAGCCCGTACTATTTTCACTTCCCCATCCTGTCTAAGAAGATCCTGGTGTCCTGAATTCTACGTGAACCCATCTCTCAACACTTGCTAATGGCCTTGGGTTTCAGTTGGTCATTCTCTTTCACACTGCCAACGTTCATCTTATCTATATGCCTCCTCTCCAAACTTCTGTCCATGGAGAGGTGGTATAAATTTCCCTTACCAAACAATCTTCCAGGAACAATTTTAATTGGTGATGATCATGATGACTTCTTAGTTCAGTATTAACTGTTTTCTCCCCTAAGCAACTGACTGAAAATTTCCTTGAGATTAAGGAGTATTTTCTTTACACTTTTCTAATACCCTATAGTATCTCTTATGATACAATGAATACAAAAGGCATGTCACCATTGTTTCTTCAATAGATAAATTTTAACTCTACCACTTGGAACACAGCCCCCAGCACGTAATGGATGCTGAGCAAGTATTTGCTTTGTAAATAGAATTTTCACAGAATTCTGGATAATACAATGGATGTCTCTTTTGATTTAGATGATCAGAAATAGAATATCAATGAGGATTCAATTTTTAAGATACTTTGATTACAAACGGCTATTTTTTACTCATTCTCTTTAATATAAGGCTTAGAGGTCTTGAAACAAGAGGTTCATTTTCAATATGAAATGTATGCATCTAGAAATCTGAGTCAGCAATAAGGTTATCTGAGGCCAAACGGGGGAAATATTGGTAGAGGGAGGTCCTGGATACAGTCAGCAGGACTGAGACGGCATAAGAATGTAGGAAAGGGAAAGTGTGCATGGGCAAGTCTTTACATATCACGTTTTCTCCATTGTGTTATAAATGATTTAGGGGAAGAAGTGGTGGATGAATTATATTAAGCTAAAAGGTGGCATTTAAGCAGTCCTATACTTACTTTGGAAACACATTTCACATTTTGTCATTTCTCAATGATTAATGCACTCAATTAATTCCATTTCATGACAATTGAAACAGATTTAGCAAATATTGATTAGTTACGTGTAAACATGTGATAGAATCATAGCATTTTACATGTATATATATATGTGTGTGTGTCCAGATACGTAGACCTTGTTTTCCAAGTTCAATAATAAGATAAACAGTTCAATGAGGGATGTTATTAATATACGAATTTCTTTAGATTAGTGTATTATAGTGCAATACAAAATCATCACGTTTAGGTATACGTATCTGAAAAGAATGAAATTATCTGAAATTTGGACTATTACCAACATGGGAAATGTGGTCATCCTGTGAACAGGTATGTACAATATAATAATGAAAAATAACTGTCAATTTTACATGGGTTCAAAAAAAAGACAGACATTATACCAGTAAAAACTTAAGAAAGAAGTCTTTATGTGATACATACCCATGTATGTACACATACAGATATGTATGCACGTTGAACCCTTAGAAACAGTGATTTCATGACAAATGCGTATCTGGCTGAATTTGTTTAGTCCTCTGAGCCTTAGTCTTCTCCTCTCTAAACACAGGGATAATCATAATAGTTCCTATCTCAAGGAGATGTTGGAATTAAATGAGATGGTATATATGAAAATGCCTAACTCATAGGGACATACAATAAAGGTTATTTACCTCCCACCTCTTATCTACTTATCATGAATCTAGCTTTATGCAATTCCCCTTGAAGGAGCCTTAAAAATTGACAAATTGTACCTGCTGTCACGGATACCTTTGTTGGAGAACCAAAATTGTTAATAAACCAATTAGAGAACTTCAGAAGAGAGGATATAGCCGAACACTCACTTATGTGCTCCATGCTTTATGTGTATGAAGCAGAGGGTGGGAAATTTGAAAAGTGCTGGTTGAAGCTTCCCCAAGGTTTATCCTCCTAGACTATGGCCAGAAAGAATTGGAGACAAGATCTCCAATGAGCCAGAATAGTCAGAATCCAGGTCATTGCTGCACTGGCAAGATGCCCTGAAGGCAGGAAGTCCCAAAGGGGCAATGATGGCCAGCAAAGAGGCCAGAAGGACCAGAAACACACTGGAATCAGGCTGTAAGAGTCAAGTAAGAGGAACCATAAAAGTATACCAGCAGGAGAGGAAACTACCAACTAAGTCCAGGGTCCATGACCCACCCAAGTCCTGAAGCTCAGGGATGCTACCGTACACCCACTCAGCACACCCAGGTGCCAAGCATATGGTAGGTAAGGAGCATCATGCATGCCTCAATGACATGGACTTCAACATCCTGATCTAGTAGAGCAAGCACTGAACCAGCAGCCAGGAGACCCAGAATCAAGTCCCCCTTCTACTTAACAGCTCTATAATATTGGGCAAATAAGTTCCTTCAGTGCCCTCACTTGTAAAGTAGTGATGTTTGCTCTTTTTCATAGGTCAGCTGAGATCCAGAATAAATAAATATGAAGCAGCATAGGTTAGTGGTCAAGAGCACAGACTGCCTGGATTCCTATCCCAGATCCAGCACTTAGAACAGCACATGATCTTAGTAAGTGTAGCTGTTCTTTGGAGTCCTCATCTGGAGAATGGAATAATAAGGTACCTCTCTCTAAAGCTGTGCGAATTGTGTTACCAGCAGTACATGTGAAGTGCCTACAGCAAAGCCAGACACATAGTAAACATTCAATAAATATAATGTAAGTTATGATTATAATGAGAACATGGTTTGTGAACAGGTGATGTGGGAAGCACAAAGAACTTGACTTAGACTCAGACTTGAGTTCTGATTCAAACTCCAGCATTATGAGCTGGATAGTGTGAAGGAAATTAGTTAACTCTTCTTAATATCACGTTTTTAATTTGTGCACTGGGCATGATAATTCGTTGTTCAAGGTGTTCTTACGAAGATTTGAACCAGCCTGTATCAAGCAAGTGGAATATGGCATGTTTTCAATGAATGGTAGTTATTATGTGTAATTATAGAGTGATAGACGTATCTAGAAGGTATTGCAAAATGCTTCTTCCTTTGCAGAAAACCTGATCAGAACAGACTGATTCTCACAATTTATCCATCCCCAGTGATTTGCATTTATAGTGGCACTTTGCCAGCCCTTTCTCCTCTCTGGTGAGACTGATGAGGAGAACATCAAAATGTCCTGAGAGAGAAATGCCACAGGTAGCCTGAGGACATGAGCTCTGTGTCCTGCAGGCCTCAGACCTCAACAATGCTGCCACTGTCCTTCCCAGAAAGGCTGGAATGTGGATGAGGGCCAGCTGGACCCAACTCCCACAAAGCAGACCAAAGGGTTGCAAACTGGCCAGGAGGAAGGCTGGGAGATGGATCTTTGAGAATGTGGCTGGCGGTGCGCTCTCACAGTGCTCTTCAAAGTGCCAGACTCTTCCTGGCTCTACGTGTGCCAAATGCCCAAAGGAGCAAGGGACACACTTTAAACTCCCAGTAGGAAGTCCTGGCTCAGAGGATTCACAAAAAACAAAACAGCCCCAGCAATGACGAAGTTCCTTGAATGTGGCAAGTACTTTATACCTCGACTCCATTTGATCCCCACAACACCTGTGTCAAGTTGGAATCATTATCCCATTATACACAGCCTGGTGCATTGTAAGTCTTCAACAAATGTTAGCTATTATTATTGGTGTTGTCATTATTTTTATTACAAATGAGGAGAATGAGGCTGATGACAGTGAAGTCACTTGCCCAAAGTCATATTGTTAGCAACAAAGCTGGGACTCAAACCCAGTTGTTCACCTCCAAAACGTGTATGCTCAGCATCAAAGCCTGCAGCCTGAATGGCTTATTAGACACCTTCCCTGTTCCAGGGGTCGTACTAAGTGCAATGGTAGACAGACATCAATATGTTCCT